CTCTGTTTAAAATCCCGGGTCATCCCGACCAGGGCTGAGCGGAAGGCTGACCAACGATAGTCAGTGCGCCAGAACTGATCGTTCCTCTATTACTTCCTGAAGATTAAAGCTTTATTGCTTAAAGTTCATTGGTCGCTAACGGAACTCAGTCGTACCGTCCTGCCTTGGGGCCCCCTCTCGAGCCCCACCAGCAGCCGCGCGGCAAAGACAAAGGAGACTGGTATGGCTATTTCTGACGTAGTAGCCATCATCAGAAAGTCATACACAACCCTAAGTGGTGCACCATCCGACGCTCGAACTCGCGACATTTTGATCGGAAGGCTAAAGTTCCTTTCAGTCTCTGTGTATTTTTCTACAAACCTAAATTTAACGAACACTTCATCTATTTAGTTCCTCTGTAGTTTGGCTACCTGCTTTGTGGCCTGATCTACTAATTCAAATTGATTTGGATGGGTTTTTAGGACTGATAATGTGATTTATTTTAAGCGTCCCAAGGGAGCTTTTGCTCTTGCCTGGCCAGAACTCCAGCTCTGGTTAAGTTGTGATTTGGCCAAAAATATTTGCTTTCTGCACTTTTAGATATGCGAGACTACACCTTCCAAGCACATTTTTGCGGACCCATCTACACACATCGACACAATTATTGCCGCAAGACAGAGCAAGAGATTGCCTTTGAGCTGAGGCAAATTGGCACCTGGTTGACCCTCTCCAGTGTTTTCTGTCGGTGCAATGGCAATGCCGAAGTGGACTCCATCAGTTACAGCCGTGGTGTGCGACCCACGGATAGCGTTTTCCCAGGAAACCACTACCAGATGACCTGTAAGCCAAAGGTAAGCCTGCATTATAGCAATGAGAGGGCAAGCACTATCACCATTACCATCATCATCACCACTGACAGCATGATTATCATCCATACATTTATCTAGAGGTAAGTCACTATAGTCAGTGGGTGACAGGGAATAATTAAAAGGCAAGACATGGGAATAGGGACCCCTCCGTAATAAAGGTTGGCTTGCACTTACTCCTAGGAAGGCAACCGTTTCCCATGTCCTTGACTTAACCACAGTTCTATCTTATCCTTAATCCGCATTTTAATCCTAACCTAATCCAATTAGAACTTAACGCAAGCCGTCTGTATTGCGCACATTTTCTATTCCCATGTCCAACTAATTAAAAGAGTACCAAAAATTTGAAATGGTTTTCGTTGCCTGCTAAGCGTACGTGAAGTATCTTGAAGTTTCCGTTGGTGGTGGCCGGGTCCTCTGACCCAAAGGATTGGATCATCACGTGTTCACGCATTTGTCGCGCAATTCCTCGGCACTTTTCTCGAAGAATATCGAGGAAATGTTAACGATAACTCGCCTATTCGCCTTCGTTTCGTATATGTCACTGAAGTGGGGTTGTAATATTAATTATGATACAGGGCAATTCCAAGATATTTTAATCACGACCCCCGGACGTGAAAGACGGCAACCTGAAAGAACTAAAATCTGTGTATAATGACCATTTGGGCATCATATATTCTCCTTATAGACTGTCGGTACTCTTACCTATTTAAATATATTGCATATAAAATATACCTAAAATAATCTTGTTAATAAGCCAGAGGTGGTTACCTCCAGCCTCCCTTGAGCGTGTGAGAGACAAAGTTAAGTATATATACATAAAGCTCTTTGTTGGAATCTTTTTTATGATTGATTTTTTATTCATAATAGCGAGAATGCAGCCTGAAAGAGAGCTGTTATGTGGAAACTCCGAATAATGACGGCCTACTCTACGGTGGTAAGGTAATGTGCCACTGTCCCCCCAAACACTTCTGTCCAATCTACTACATCAGGGGGAAGCGGATCCCTCAGCACGGCCACAAACAGCAGATTGTGCAGTATGGCCTGAAATGCAAAAAACGAGCCTTCTAACTGACGGTGTTCTTGGTCCCCTCTCCCCCGGCTTCTTTCCCTCACTCCCAACGCAATACCCACTACCGCCTTACGGTTTTATTGGCTGCCGATATCCCTCCCTCCACCTGCTCTGACGACCTCATTATACACCTGCTACCAATCGTTAGAAAACCACAAGCGCAGGCTTCGCTGTACGAGGGAACGTTCCACCCTGCCAATCCCCGTGAAGCAAACTTCCTTTTGTTTTCTACACAAACACAAAAACAACCAGAGAAGAACTGTAACTATCAGAACATGACCACCTCTTCTAACCATACTGCTGCCTCTGAATTGTCCTCTCTTCTGTTACTGACCACAGCGCACAGGAATGAGACCCGAAGCGATCCCTATTTTAATTTCTACCGAAAAAATCACGCTTATCGACTGGTCGCCATTGCGTTGAGTCTAATTTTTTAAACAAACTTGAGACACGCACCAACTGACCTCTTTCACGTTTTTTTTTGAGGATTCAATACTGGTGTACAGGTAATGGCTGAGAATACTTGAAGGGTGAGCAGACGACTGTTTCACAAGGGATCATTACTTGGACTAAAGTGGCCTTTAGGAGGGGCAGGATACTGCGCTACGAAATACTAAAAGTGCATGCTATAAAATAGAACTTTTCCATTCAGACTTTTAACAAACAAAGAGACTGGTTGACCAGAAAAAGATTTAATGTTTTGCCTGCTGAACTGATAGCGGGTTTTGCTCTAATTGATGCAGGGGCATTTTGAAAGCGCTGTAGGAGGTACCTGCTGGCATATTCTCAGTACGGTGGTTAGGTGAATACTGCAGTGGTTCGTATAAAGGATTTATCTTTGAACCTGGAGGGTAATAGAGAGGATATCTATCACAATGGGTTAAGTGAATAGGCAAAAACCCTCGCCAGTACGTTATTCAGGAATGGTTCCTTGTGGGATGAGAAGAAGTGGGAGGCCAGAGTGGAAGGAATAGTTTATTCCGTACAAAAGAAGTGGGGAATAGGTAGGAGGAAGTTGACTCTTGAACAAGCTCATTCCGGTCGTGAGGAAGCGTTCACGCGGAGCATGCGGCTGTCCTAAAGGTATATCGAGACTTGCAATTACGTGACCTCATGTCTAGCGTGTCACCAGAGGTGGCATCACTGCATGTCCTTCAGATTGGCCATCTGGAGCACCGCAAAGACACATATTACTGAAGATAGTCATTGGTTTAATTTCGTCCACATTTGGTGCCAATTGATGAGACATCACAGTTTTGAACTTATTTAGGGTCAGGCTGAAGTTTAGCTATCCAGATAAGCATAGGTGTGCGTCACTTAGTTCGTGTCGCCACGTTGTTGTTGTCTCGCGACTCGGCAGGAGGCGTATGGACGCATGCTGCGTTGGTCATCGGTCAAGAGAGCCTTAGTGCCTGTATAAACACCTTGTGCGCGCACAGAATCGGATTATTTAACGGCATGGCAACTGCCTCTACCGCCCTATGGCTAACTAAGCCGATTCTGTGCGCGCAGGCACTGAGGCCCCTTGGTTGAAGGCCAACTCAGCATGCGTTTCCAGGCTTAAAACTTTGTCCATCTACCCTCCCTTATATTATTGTAATTGCCTGATGGTGAATAACGTACGTTCGCCAAACTGGACTTTTTGAATACGTTTTGTACTTGGTTATTCGTCTCTGACCTACCACTTATCCTCCGCGATAGTACAACTGAGGTCTATCAAACTACCTTCTGATGATTGTGCTATAGCTTCCGTCAAAAATTAGGCAAAATTGGTTCTGTTTTCCAGAATCCTGTTCTGCTCTTATTTCTTGCTAGAGAAGTTCTTACCCGGCACTACTTTCTTCGCCTTCCTCCCCGAAACCTTCCGAGTATAGAAGGAGAAAGGGCGTTCACCAGGAGAGGTTTATTTGTGATCTGACGTTTCGGATAGTTATCCCGCCCGTCCATCTTCAGAGAGTGAATACTCTGGCTCCTGGCTCTCGTTGTATGCC